ATGTATATCTAACACAAGCCAAATTTTTTTCCAGAACCATTTGCATCTAATTATTACTTTTCGCTAATCAGCAAGACATTTGCGAACTCTTAGCGTGCATTTCAAAAATTATTAATTTTTTTATATATACGAGTATTAACAGAAATAATAGAATAAGGTTTATTTTAGTGAGGTGATCGCAGAATTTAAAAACTCCGCCACCATTTTTAAAGTAATAAGTGTAGTGAGTTTTAAAAGAGTGTATCAAACAGCATAGAGCAGTTAGAGCATGGATTCCGTTGAACACAATAAATCTAGTAATATAGCATGTCTTACAGTCACGTCTCTTAAGGCTTTGGAAAAAATAATCAATTATGTAACAATATTACGAAACATCCGTAGTAATATTGTACGTAATTACAACAATAACTTAAGCATATTTTTAAACGCTGCGCTCCATATTCTTGATGATGATTACAAATTTCCTTGGACTGTTGCTTGATTAAGGTGTGCTGTATTCGTAATTTATGTTTCGTAAGCTTTTGCAATTTAAATGCGAGCCATGTACTTGTATAGAAGACCGCAAACCGAGCATTGCAACACATGACAACAAAACGCATAGCGAGGCACATGCAATTAAATTGTAACATAAACTCGAACTCGAGCACACGGAGAAAGAGTGGGCAGCAGAAACGCCTTGTTATTCCCTGCCTTGCCTCACTTGCTACTTGCCACTTTCCGTGCTCTGCTCTGCTCAACCAGGCTTGCATGCATAAGCAACTTTCCATGCAAAAAGTGAAAAGCATTTCAATTAGCGCTGCGTATCGTTGCAGAAATCACAGAAGCTCCTTGCTCCGTGTTCCTTGCTGCTGCTACTGCTCCTGCTGCTGTTGTTATTGTTGTTGTTGTGTTAATGAGCGCCAACTTTTAGTGCAACACATGCAACACGAGTGCAACAGCGACGACAACAGCTAGAGACAAAGGCAGAAGTCGCGCATGTGTTTGTGCCATAAAACTGAATTATTGAAAAGCACACGTTTCACTTTTGTTTCTGTTTCTGTTGTAGCTTTGGTTCTTCTTCTTGTTGTTGTTGTTTTTGCTGTTGCGGCTCAAAGAAATGAAGTCAACAGCAGGCACCAACAGCAACAGCAACTACAACTGCAACTGGAACTGCAACAACAACAGCAATGACGATGGCAAAAGTTTGCTCAGCAAAGGAGCGATCTCCCCACAGGTAGCAACACATGCCGTATTATAGAACTTAGTGCCTTCGGCTCCGCCATCTCTGACACTTTAGCTTACAACACGCAACAAGCACAAAAGACGCACAGGGTCGGGGATCAAATGTTAATTGGAGTTTTCGAGACATAATTAGAAGTCGCTGCCATCGTATTTAGCCGGAATAGTCTCTGAAGTGCTCGTCTAATGTGTCACGGCATTTAGCAATTGGATCAGCAGCAGAAGTAGTAACAACAACAGAAACAACAACAGCAGTGGCAGCAGGAGCTGCATTCCAATGCACACATTATGGGCAAACAAACTGTGCAAACAAATACAAAAGTAGCCAGGCGGAACAAATTTGAGCGTTGCACGCAGCGAGTGGCAGGCGAATGAGTCGCTGCAGCTACAGCTGCCCCAACCAAGTTCAACAACACGCCCTCGAAATGTGAATGACCTCGAATGTCACGTTGCTCAAACACACACAAATACCAATACAAACATAAGCACACACACACACACTCACACACACATGCAGCGCACAGTGGTTGAGCAAACGAAATCAATCTACCTTGATAAACAAATTGCATTTATTTTTAATAACCACACTCTATTTAATTTAAAAAAAAAAAGAGACAGGAAATAGACTTTGGTAACGAACTTGGTCAAATTCGTAATGTTTTAAGGGAATTTTTTTTGAGAAAGCAGCTAAAAGGAGATATCTATTTTATTTTATTTATTTCTATTTAATCCAGTTTTATGAAAAATAATAGCATAATTTATTTTTTTTTATTGGCTTTGCGCTATATTTTCATTATTATCCTATATTTTTTGTCTACAGAAAGAGCTTAAGGTTTCCACCTATCTGTGTCTCATCCAAGACATCTTAGTTCTCCTTAGAATGTTTGGGGCTCCTTCTTGGAACTTAAGGATTCAAAAAAAACATGGTCCACCTTTCTCTACCCAGATTTTTAACCGATTTTCCCGTTTCTTTCCGTATCATTAAGTCGATATTAATGTACTACTGCTTAGTTCTTCTACAAAGCTCACATCTGGGCACCAGATTTGCAATATATTGCACAGATATTGTAACCTTACATTAATTTCGAATGCTGCTAGGCATGTCTCTAATAAAAGACGGACTTCACACACGCCCTGAATATTCTCATTTCAGTGTCCTTAGCTGCACCAACTGTTGAGAGAATACTGCTTTGCAGTCAAAACCTAAAAATAACTGACAACTTTTTTAGTTTTATATTTTTAAAATATATATATAAACGTGCATTTCCAACTCGCTATCAATTTAAGTTATGAATAAATACAAATTGGCAAATAGTTATCCAAAAGCATTACTTTAATTTGTTTACAGCTTTTTATAAGCACATTCATATTTAAATTAGAAAAATAGAAATCGAATACTTTAGAGCCGATTTTGATTTGTGTGCGTTTTTAAAGAGACAGATGCACTCCTCTGAGCAACGTATATATATAATGTAAAAGCTTTCCAAAAAATGCACACATTTCATAACATCTTGTACCACTATGCGGTGGCAAGAGAGTTGACAGAGGTTGGTGGGCAGGTTGTGGCATTTCATCACAGCGTCGTCAGTTGCACAATGCCCAGCAGGGCGGCCAAGAAGATTATGGAGCTAGCTGCTGCTGTTGATGTTGTTGTTCTTGTTGCTTTTGCTATTGCTGGCATTAAAAACAAAAACTGAACGGAAAGCAAGTAAACAGGCAAGCGCCTTTTGAATGTCTGTGTGTAAGGCAGAGTACGTGCAACATTGTCCAAGGCAGCAGCGGAGGCAGCAACATGCAGCGTATAATCAGCCTCATCAGTAACAAGCAGAATGAAGAAAAGCCTCAACACTGAGCCATGGCAAGTCTGTCACAGTCAGACCCGCAGTGGTTGCAGCAACAAACCGCCCGTAGCCTTTTGCTTAGCAAAGTGAAAGAAACAAAGCGCCTCTGGCAGTTTCTGTTGCCAGCTTGCCTGCCTGCCTGCCTTCCTGCATGACGTTGATCTTTTGCTGATAACTTTGGCTTTTTGAATTACACAAAAACCCATAAGAGACCATGGGCTGCTGCCCTTCCGTCCGCCTCCTTGTTAAGGAAGTAGAAGTGTTTGTGCCTTTTGTGCGAAAAAATATAAAAAAAGTTGCGACGCAGCTTAATTATTTTTGCCTCTGCGCACAAAAACTTCACTTGAGTTTCAGGAACGACACGGCGCCGAGACAGTAATTTGTGGCAAGCTCAAGAACAAATTGTGGCATACACTAAGGCGCCTCCTAACAATAATAACCATAAATAACACATAACGTTAGCGAGCTGTAAAACAGAAATAAAACAATTACGCGGACTCTGTGAATAGTCAGACCACGAATATGCAATTAAGTTGGAAATCCTTATGGTAAAAGAGTCTTAAAAATGAACAGCTTATCAGACTTAAAAGGTTGTAATTTTTCAGAAGCAATATTAATTAGTTAATTGCTATACATAGATTATGATATAACAACTACTTAGAAGCTACGAATGCTATCGGCTCGCTTCAAAATTATTAGAACTAGAAGTTGAAGATTCTTCTCCTTTTTTTTGTTAACACTTTCTATTTACATTTGGAAATATAGTAAAATCGGTAAATATTTCAAAATCTGTTGATGCTGTGCATTATTATTTCTTTTTTTTCAATATTGTTAAATAGAACCATGTAAATATACATTGATATTAGTAAATCACCTATTAGAAAAATATTTTTTATATTACTTAATTTTCCTTTGAAATTAATAACTAATGAAAATTATAATCTTCTTGATCAAAGCTATTTAGTTCAAATAAATTCCATGTGTGCAACATTATTATTAATTTTGTGTAGAAATTTCAAATCTGTCTTCCTCTAATTTATAACTTTATTTGAACATTTGTTTTTTTTTGTTTTGCTGCCCTTCAATAAATTTATTTCCAATTCACTGATTATGATTACTTGTTTTACAAAACCATTTTTATGATTATAAACCTTTTTATTGAAATAATATTTAATATTTATTTAAAAGGAACGTTATCTTACACATCAGTTTAGCAAACCAAATAAGTATCATTAAAAATGTATAAAACAAAATTATTTAATTAATTTTTGCCGATCAACGAAGTTCTCTCTGAATATAAATTTTGAACTCCAATACATATCTCTGTTTCTCTGATTTATCACCTTTCTTGATCGTTTTTTTTTTTTCATTTTGTATATTTTATTCTTGGAGCAAAGAAACTCAAGTCAGTTTGAAATAAAAAATCCCTCTTTCTCATTTCTCATTATTTTCTTCACATTCTTCAGACGGAATCAAGGTAGTAGTACAAGTATTTTAACTCCTTTTTGAGCCGAAAACTATCACTACCGTACAAGCTAAATATAAATATAAATAATATATTTAAATATATCAAAAGTATTACTGATAAATCGTATTGGGCCATCAACAGCTCTAAACAATTACAAAAACTCTCTAATTACAATGCAATTGATCAGGCAACTGTATAGGCCTGCTTGCAATACTTTAAGAGGGAAGACTTATAATAAACGAGCGGGAACATATTTGTATTAAAATATATGCTTACATGTTTATTTATAATTGGAGCTGCCAAACACAATTCTTAACTGCTAAAAAGTAAATATTGTTAGGAGGTGAAAGCTTGTTAATTCGCAGATATTATATTATCCAGCACTTAAACCCAGAACAATTGTCAAACAGCCCCCGCTAAATTTGATTTTCAGCATAAGCCGCACATTCGTACGAATTCGCCCCGCTACTCACCACGTATGACATACAGGATCAGGATGGCCTTAAAAAGGCTGTGTAAATCCATTTTTTATGAGCACTAATGCTTTCCATTACATTTTTTATGTGTGTGTTTTAAACGTCGAATTCCGCTGGTTGTTTGTTTCGCTCGTTGTCGCTGTTGCTGTTGTTTGTTGTTCTTGGTTTTTTTTTTATTATTGTTGTTTATTGTTGCATTTATTTTTGTTGTTGATTGTTGTTCGCATTCGGCTTTCGATACTTGTGGTTATTTAATTTCTTCGACGCTGACAAAAACTCACGCTTTCACGCAAAGCCAAAAAAAAATTAAACCAATTTTCGCTCGACTTTGCTTTGAGATTGTGATTGGTGTGATTTAATGGTTGTTGTTGTTGTTGTTATTGCTGTTTTTCCGTGCGGCTACTTCTTCTTCTCCTTTTTCGTTGTCCTTTTAACGCATTTCGTTTACACTTTGCCGCCTATATTGTTTTTTTTTTTCATTCATTTCGCGTAACGCGCGTCTGTAAAATTCATTAGAATTCATTTTAATGTCATAAGTGCTATGAACCAAAAACCAAAAAAAAAAAAGAAGGAAAACACGATTTTATGGGGCCGCAGATTTATCTGAGCTGTTTTTGTTTTACTTGCTGCTGCGTTATTTATTTTGATTATTCATTTATTTATCGCCGGCATGCGCCTGTTGTATGTAAATGACTTTTTAAATCTGCTGACGGAATACATTTTATTGCGCATACGCCACGTTGCATGCGCGGCATCAAGTTGAAGCATTTGCATTTGAGTCATGACTGATACCAAGCCGGAAAGTGCTTTGAACTCTGACCTAATTCTTTCGCATAGAAAATGCAAATAAAAACACTTAAACAAACAAAAAATCGCCACAAAACTTGATGAACTCAGACAGTGAATAATGAGAGAAGCGCCTTGCAAAAATGAATTCTATTAAGTTCAATCCGAAAATGAGAAAAGCCGAAAATAGTGGGCCACTTGGTTTTTAGAAAAATGCGGGTTTGATTTAAACACACATATTGCTATGCTGTTTATATCAAAGGCAAACATGCACAATATCTCTACTGTTCTAAAATATAAAAATGAGAAAAGTTAACGTTTCGTTAACTCCTAAAGGTATGTTTTAAGCCAAGAGTTATGTTTTTTAAAGCACTAGTAAGCAAAGATGAGCTAAATTGCAAAATAGAAAACTTTTTGACTCTTCATTATATCATTTTTAAAATCAACTGTTCATGTATTACATTTTATTAAGCTTCTCTCCTAAGCAAAAAGAAAAACCATAGACATTTCCTATTTTAATGGTCTTTTATCTCTCTGTTGGCTCAAATGTTTAAACAAAATTTAAGTTCTACTATTTGTATTGAGACACACATGAGTCTCGTGAAGCCACAACAAACGTAAAAAGTTCAACAACCGAATTGGCTAACGAAGAGCATTTATTCATGTGAATGGCTTGGGAAAGACTGATCAACCTTTTTGAAAACCGTAGAAGAAGCATTTAACATCGACACCATCCATAAATTGTGGCCAACTTCTCAAGGCTAAAGATCTCTTTTTTAACATGCAGATAAACTGAAAATCCAATGACGAATTCAGGGAGAAAACTTAATGAAAACTGTAAATTCATTTCCATAAATCAATATTGAAGTTGTGACATTTTTAGATAAAGCCTGATCTTTTGTATATTATATTATTGTTATCATTATAAATATAAATACAAAAACCAATGGCCAGCAAAATTAATAATATCGAACAAGTAGTAAGTATGTGTGATGAGTAGTTTATTTGTACTTTAGTTATATAATTTATTTGTTTATTTTATTAAATTATATTTATGTTAAACGAACATATAAAAAAATGAACGTTATAGGAAGGCCTAAATATGAGAATTCTAATCAAATTGAAATCGAAGATGATTTCGAAGATGTTTGAGAATTTCTTTGCATATCAAACCCATTTTTATGTATCACATAAATAGTTTTAATATCATTTTCTGAGACTGCAGCTATTTCCCCTTCTAATATTTTCATATTTACAGCTCAGACTGCATTTAAAGTTTCTTCTGGTTCATTATTTTGCACGCCTTTGATTTCACTTACTGACACCAGTGGCAATCAGTCAGTCATTCACATCGTTCGTCCTTCTATCAGTCAGTCAGTCAGTCAACTGCGATCAACATGTCAGCAGTCGTATTAATCATGTCAAGTCAACGCCATACACACACACACACACAAACACCCACACACATATATACACAAAGCACTTGGACAGCCCCTCAAGCGCTACTATGGAAATTCTGTTGCTGTTGGTGCTGTCGCTTCCTTGACTGCAGTTGTTGTACATGTTGCTGTCGTTGTTGTTGTTGTTGTTGTAGTTTCTGGATTTTGGGGAGAGTAGGGGAGTTGCCTGTCGCTTTCCACATATTATGTGCGCCCCTTTGAGCGCATTTTTATGCGCTTGTCGTTGGCATCGGGCACAAAATTATGCATCAGCGCGAAATTGGAGCGCTATAAGTCACGCTGAAGTGGAGTTTGGAGTGGAAAGCGTTGTGGCATCAACAGCATTGCAACAACTACACACTTTTTCCTTGTCTTCCCCACAGCATCTGATAGATGCCTGATGCGCTCTGCTGTGCGGAAATATGACAAAAATATGCTAAATCACGAATAGCAAGAAACTAAACAGCACTGCTCCCTCCCTAGACGAATTGTATTATTTGGCTCGACACGCTAGCCAAACAATTTAGGGGCTCAAACGTACATGAAAACGCTTGCGCAGCAGCCGTAACATTAAGTTCCAAGCATGTGGCATGCGGCAAGCGGGAAGCGGCATGTGGTATGTGTGTGTGCTCTGAAGCAAATTTTCGTATCATTTGCTTGGCGACCAGAGTCCCCAAGGTGTCATGCAGTGGCAATGGCAGCTATAGAGGAACGACAATGCTGGCAATTCGTGCGCTTACCCAAGCGCCCTGCGCCGACTTTTTGGCCACGCAAAATTTTGCTGACAGCCCTGACTTGCATGGCCAAAAGGAGGAGGTGTGAGGAGTAAGGATATAACATGCAATGGGCAACTAAAATAAAAACGTTGTGAATTTCCTTTTTTATGCGCCCGAAACTATACAAAAGGGACAGACAACCAAGTTGATAGAAAGACAAACAATATAAAAAAAAAACCAAAACGAGGAAATGAGAAAGAAACAAGTAACGAAAATGTGTATAACTGTCAATGACAATAAACTGAAGGCAGCAGCAACAGCAAAATGCCGTTTAAGCAACATGGAAATTATACCCAATGCGAATATCAGCAGAAGTCAACAGAAATGGGATCGGGCGAGCCTGTAGGCAGAATACTCGCATACTGTTAAAAATGTTTTTTTTTTCAGTTTCAGGATTTTTCTCGTTTTTCTGTTGTGTAAAAAACATGACTTGGCAATTATGCGGCAAATGTGCGCACTGCGCATTCCACACAGCAGCAGCAACAACAACAACAACAATAGGAACAATAACAGCATCAGCGGCAACAGTAAAAGCAACAAAAGAAAGAAAAAACATAAATATTACGCATACGCCGCATTGCACAAGAAGCGTTTGCTAAATTGCTGGCAATTAGTTTAACGTTAAAGTACGAACTTAAGAGAGATAGGGAGAGAGAGAGAGAGATGGACAGAGAGGAGACAATATAGCGAGCAATTGAAAGCCTCTAGGCTTAACAACATGCTGTTTAAGCCGCTTTCAATAACAATTTAACAGCATGACGGCAAAAAACATGCGGTGAGCAACTATTATACTATTATATAAAGGCTATACAATGCGCTACATGTAATTGTGGGAAAGCGATTACTAAAAATAAAACCAATACATTTCCTTATATAAGTTAATGAAAGTAATTCATCATATAAAAATTAAAGAGTGCGTTCTCCTTCTATGTCGCCTACCTTCGACTACAGTCATGAAGTCTTCGCTAAAGTCTCGTCGTTCATTCAATCGTGCTAAAGATCATAGAGCTCTTGGTCTTGCGAATGCGCTAAAAATCCTCTTAAGAACGGTCTTATCAATATATATGTTTTTTCTAAAGTGATTTTAGTTAATCGAAAGATTCCAGTTGCCTATTCAGGGAATAGCAACGCATATAGTTCTTCGAATCGTCGACATCAATCATAAGTTTCATAAATTCGTAATACATATCCCCCCCTTCAATTTGTTCCAAAACATGTACTTTAATAAGAAGCCTTATGATAAATTTTGGATTTGAATTTTATTAAGCTAAATTATTTCTCATCTCATTTTTTCACAACAAATTTAATCAAAATTTTGTGTGTTTTTATTAACTCTAAAAGAAAATTGTGCATCCTTTAAACTCGGATAGAAAAATGTTTCATAGTATTAAAGATTGAAGCCGACATGCGGACAAAACATGAATAGATACCACTAGATACAAAAAAAAATAATAAATAGTCCAATTAATATGGATGGGGTTTTTGTCATGCAACTAAATTACAACCTTTTAAGCCGAGAAAATAAACATAAAGAGTTAAGAGCTTCACAAGGGCTCAACAATTTTGCTGAGAGCACATTAAACGCAACCTTCATCAAACATGGAAATGCATTTGCACTTTAAAGGATTATGGACGTCAGCTGCTCACTTTTAACGTTATATTTATGGGCTGTTTCATGCATTTCCAAGAAGCTAATGTACCCCATTCAAAGAGAGATTACACTTCCATTTGCATTACCATCTGCATATACCTTCGAGTTTTTTGCCTTTGTAAGCGGCTTTTATGTCTTCTTTTGTTGGCTGGCGCGCAAAATGTTGCCCACAAAGAGTTTCCACATGGGCGGGACGTGCACAAGTTTATCTTGGCCTTACACGGAGTCTCAAACACTTGAAGTCAAGTTCGATTTATTTATATTACACTCAACGTTGTCTGGCTATGAAATGGGAAGACGTGTCTGAGAGAGGGGGGAGGGGGTCTTGGCGGAATTGAGAACAGTCTGCTTGTTGGCCTGTCGGCGACAATTTTTGCTGCCTCGTGCCAAAATGAAA